GGGGGGCTGCGGGGCCCCGGCCGTTGGGGCTGAGGGGAGGAGGGGGGTGCGGAGTGTTAAAAATGTCTCCGCTTCCCACCCCGCCGGAGGCGGGGGACGGGAGGAGGCCGGCGCTCTGGGGGAAGGCAGCTACGGCTAGATCCGCAGAGTGTGGGCTGATGCGTGTCAGGGCTGCGTGCCGCTGTGAGGAAGGCGCACTTGCCTCAAGCAGCTCTGGGGGTGGGTGGCAGGGGGGACACAGGCCTGCTCCTCGGTTTCCCCCAGGACGCGTGGGGCCAGCCGGGCTGCCCCGGGAGGGAGGAGGGAGGTGTTTGGCAGAGGGCACGACATTTGGGTGGGAATGGACAACTTTGTTTTCTGGGGCCTTGGGGCCCACAGCCAAGATCTGCATCGTCTGCAGGTGCTGCCGCACACCCCGGGCTCCTCGCGTGGGCTGCCCCACGTGCCTCCCTCGCCTCGCGCGTGCCCCAGAACGGCCCAGACACAGAGTGCATCCCGCCTAATGGGAACTGAGCCGCTTCCCTCTGCCTTCAACTACAGTGGCTAGTTGATTATGTTTCTGTAACTGTAGTCTTTCCTCCTTTTTTTCCTTGGTGTTTTATCCATCACCTGTCTTTTAACTCCAAGATGCTAATTTCTACTGCTGTCTTCAAAACTAAGCCCTTATTCCAGTGGCTTTCAATGTTGACCTGTAGAGAACTTGCATGGAGCCAAAGCAGCGCTGGCTGATCACCTTAGCTTTCCTCCTGCTCTGCTGAAACCACCTGTGGAAACATCCAAATGAGTTGAAGATGTAGTTATGATTTTCCAGATAAGCCCTCAGTTGTGGGGCCATTATGATCAGTAATAATCATCTAGCTCAGCAAAACATTTAAACACATTTAACCTTGTGCATTTTCTTTGGCAGAAGTATTCACCTGCTCAATATCTTGCTGTTGGGTGAAGGGTTTGTGACAGGAGGCAGTTAGCAAAGGGTGAATTTTAGAGGAGATGGTCCACAACAAAATCTCCTAATTACAATTAATTCCCTTCTGGTTGAGTATAAAACTCCCTTTTGGAATTCAAAAGTGCGGATGAAAAGAGTAGTAAAAAGAGGATCCTTCTTTTCTTTCTCCCACACGCACATGTGCATGCACATCCTATACGAGCAGATTTCGGTCATGCAGAATATATGATCTAATTTTAAACTACCGACAAGATATATCTGCTCCTTAAAGCACACTCTTATTTTAGAATTATTTCAAACTATACTTAAAGGAATAGTCATTCTAATATAGCTAAGTGTAAATTACATTTGCGTTCCATATATCCTAGTAATGTGATGCACTTTATCTTTGCCTATGGTCACCTTTAATAATTATAATATCACGTGGATAAGAGAGAAGTTATAAATACTTTTTTTTTCTTGCTGCATGCAGTTGAAGAGGATATTCACTGCTTAAGAGTAATTCACTTGTAATGAACTTTCCCTCAGGTGAATAGCCTGTAAGATTATTTAGAAACCGCATATACTGAGCAACTCAGAAGCTGGTATTTACGGTTTAGCACAGCACAGGGAGCCTGTGCTTCCAAGTCTGCACTGAACAAATACCTAAAGATGCGTTGTTTGCTGTGGATAAGTGAGAACCGGGGCTTTTGACAGGAGCAGCTGTCAGGACCAAGCTAAGCTAACATGGGATCAGTTACATGGGGAGATATCAATGGCAGCATAAATAAACAAGCATTTTTTTTTAACGGTGTGCCTGTGCTGATTCTCTTTACTGACTGCCACAGGCTGCTCTAAAGGAAAGGTCAGTTCCCTGGTGGGAATTCACTTCCCCTACTGTAGCCTGACTATTAATACCTATCTAAATTGCACTAGGCCTGCTAAATGGCCACATTCACACGTTCTCAGGATAATCAAATATCCCTTTAATGTACTTGCATAGTAAGTTCCTTCTTTTTCCTGATCTCCTCATAGTCCTTCCAAATACCCTTCTCCAATAGCACCCACCGCTCCCCCACACCCTTGTCCTTCACTAACATCCCCAGAAGCTCTTGTTCTTGACCCAAAGGTTTGCCAGGAGCAAAGACCCAAATGAGTTAGGGCACAACTCCAGCTGCTGGAAGTCTCTCCCTTATCTCAGAGTCAGAAGGCTCTCTTTTCCCGTCTCATCGTTTTGCTCTGTGTTTGTGCTCTCTGCGCTACCGAGTCAGAGGGAGAGGATGAGAGGTTAGCTGGAGGACTTTCTCATTAAGGGTGCCAGGTTTGTTGTTCAATCTTGTACAGCTGCATCGCAGAGGGTTCAAAGAGCCTTTCTTTATCCTCCAGGGCTTCCTCCTGCAGTCAGTTCAGACCTGCCCCCAAACAGCCATTGCATACGATAGCCAGGTCCAAAATGAGACACAAACAAATTTTAAGCCATTGCAAATGTGCATCTCCTTACGGCTTCGTAAAAACAATGCTGCAGGACCCAAAGCCTAGTTTCCTTGCCCAGATCCAGGGAACTAGCAATATGGAAAGATAATATCCTCTTAGATTAAATAAATCCACCAAATATTTTATTTACATGATGTTACTAAGGATTGGAAGAGATGTAGGAACCTTTGATTGTATTTTTATTTTAATATTAAAATGCACTGATGATTCTGGCCTGTCATTTGTAATCAGTTGACTGTGTCAGAAATCTGTTCTGCTGTGACCAGTACAATGTGAAAATGGGCCAGGAGTCCCTGAGACACAAGATTACTCTGATTGAATAATGTTTCCTCTGCTTCTGCCTCAGTTCTGCCGGAGGTGCTGCCTCAAGCCATCCACCAGCAAGGAATCAGGAGGCATCTGACCCCTGTCCTGCATATTTCTGAGTTGTTACAATTATCGCAATTGCTGCATGCAAAGTACCTGTACATGAAGGGTCTTGATTGATTGTATTACCTACCAGGCTAGAAGTCTGCATTTAGATGTCGCGTGAGCTCAACCTGAGTCTAATTACAGCGCAGAAAAAATAGCAGTGCAAAATGTTAGCAGTTTTCAACAGACTAGAGTAAGTGTAACCTACTTTCTCCAAGTATGGCCTATATAAAAAGATCTTGGTTTATTTGAACTATTTGAAATGCTAGAAGCATCAGAATTATTGCATTGTTAAAACCAACTGGAACAAAGGAAAGACTGTTGTAGCTGTGAAATGTATTTAAAAACTCAGTTATTTATTAATTTTTGTCCTAAGCTAATTAGGTGATATAGAGTATACTCACTAAGAGTAAGTGCTAAAACTTTGAGAATGATGCATTGTATTTCTCTCACAAAATAGAAACAAAATGTTTACCAAAATCATTGCTTATGGTATTCAAAAACACATGAAAAATGAAGTGTTTTTAAAATAAAAGTACTCTTACTTTTAGCTTGATTACCTAAAGAAATAATGTTCTTGTAGTCATATTTTTTGTCTGTCTGATGAGTCTCTTCTGCCTGCCAATAACTTCTGATCCCATTAGTTCATTTCAGCTAAGTTTGACAGCGGTGTGAAGGTCTCAAAGTTTCTGCAAGCTTCTACAAATGTTGTGAAACTCCCAGCTGGATCAAAGAAAGCAACCCACATTCATTTTCATGCTGGGGGAAAAGCTGCAGAGTGAGTTCAAGAGTTACATGGTCTCTTTGGTCTTTCATTTGGCCGCTCATATTGGCCAATAAGTGTAAATATA